GGTTCGGCTATTCTAAACCAATAGTTCTTCCTCCTCCTCCTCCTCCTCCTCCTCCTCTTCCTTCTCCTCCTCTTCATCTTCCTCCCGTTCTGTGTATGCGGAGAGAGGGTGTCTAAGAGGAGGGAAGAGGGGATAAGGCACGACGGAAATGCAGAGAAGTGCAGCCTTGACTATTGCACGATGGAAATGTCGGTGGAGGAGAGGGCGAGGAGGGAAGAGGGGATAAGGCAGGGGATAATGCATGGTCTTTACTGAAATGGCGCACTGTGCGCACAGGTCCCAAGGCCGTGTGCGCACAGCGCACAGCGCACACTCCGATGGCTGCACCAGACTCTTGACCCTGGACCTTATCCATCCCCTCTGAGAAGCCATTTCATATACAAATGACATGTGCAAGTAAAATGAGCAATAGCGATACGACAGAATTCCAGATTGCAAAATCACACTGAAAGCCAGATAGTCGAAAGCTGTCCAGAAAGCAGAAATGCACTGATGTCACACCAAAGAAGAACCAAAGCAGCGAACTCAATTGTCAATGAAAGCATACTCTCGCCACCACCAACAACGTAATCGAAGCTCTTCCTCCTGATGGTGCTCAGCGCCTAGACTACGAACCTACAGCTACTATGCTAGCCTACTCAAATGACAAGGCAACCAGTTGACATCAGCAGAGGAAAACAGAGTGCATGCAGATGCCCGTCATGCAGATCTCCACGACGACCAGGTAAGTGCTCTCACATCATCTCCCCGACTCACCCTCTCTATGCTCACCCTCGTCTCTCCCACTTCTGTCCTTCTTCCTCAAGGACCACCGCCAACACCCGGCTGACACCGCTCCTCCCTCCAGCGCCCGAGTGCGCCCGGGCTTACTTGCCTGCGCCTGCTAGCGTTCGTACGGGCAGCGCTGCCGCATGTTCACCAGGTGCCCGAATGAGTCCGTAGCTGCCTGGCACTTTCCTAAATGGAAAGCGCCCAGGCCCGACAGCTGCCTGGTCTGGGCGGCAAGTCTGCCCAGTAGCCTCCGGTTGGGCCAAAGTGTCTGCACCCAGGCCCATTCAGACAGCGGCCTGGGACCGAGTTGGTGAAAGGGCACTCAACTGTCGGATGTGGCTTGAGGTGTTTGCTGCATCGTGATAGGCCGAAAGGCCTCTGCTTCCACATCCAACCCAGAAGAGCCTAGAAGGCTCACCAAACATTCTGATGCTCACGAGCAGGGCGAATGTAACCAATTGGCACGTGGCAACTGTCTGGCGCCCACCAAGGCTTTTAAAAATTGACAAATTCAGGCCTCGTTGAGATTCATAGGCCCACCTTCACTTAGGGCGGCCACATGCTTGCAGCGAGGCCCAATATGGGCATGTCAAGGGTTCGTATCCTCGCACTCCCTCCTCGCATCAGGTCTTTATGGCTGAAAGGACTTCTAGTTGGCAGTACGACTGCAAGCAACTGCACAAACTCATGATACAGTAGATCATGAGTCCTCTTCTCTTTGCCCATCTCCTAACCGACTGATGCAGGAGAGTACTCAGCCACAGGCTATCTATAATCAGGCAGGTAAACCGGCTGATTGCCATCATTGCCCTCCTCCTAATCACCCTTTCCAACAGTAATAATAGTCCCTATTTTCACACTTGTCATCAATAAGCTAATTTGGGTGATTGCACACAATAAGCGGAAGAGAGATGTATTCGCTCCATTGCCTCCACTCTTTGGGCATGGTTGCTCCTATGCCTCTGTCATGTACGATGCAGCTGGTCATCTGGCGCACATTCTGTACTTCAACTTGTCAAACGCATCCCCGAGCAAATAAGGCCGGGGAGCAATTGTGCCCAAGGAGAAGAGGATGGACTTGGAGAGCTTCTTGGGTTGTATGAGAAACATCTTGCTCCGGCAGGCTCGTTCCCATCCTGTACTTCTCTACCTCGCTAAGGATTAGTTCTGCGTGTTTGCCTCTGCACAGTGCTCTTCGGCTGATTTGAGCAGTGCGTCCCTGCCAGAGTGCACCAGGACGACGGTACCTCCTCCCGGTACAGCTCGTGCTGTGCACCTGGCCATCCACAGGTACTTTTTTTCCCCTTTGACAGACGGATGTGTTCGCTTACGTAATCCAAAAGAAGAGACGTTGTCTAAAGAAGAACCCCTCCTTTGTCCTTGAAGTACGAGCTGTACCACGAGCTGTGCACAGATGTCTTGTTTTTCTGTCTAAAGAACCCCTCCTTTCATGGAAGCGGTATGGCCCCCTCTCAACGATCCTTGCTGTGCACCTGGCCATCCACAGGTACTTTTTTCCCCTCTGCCAGACGGATGTATTCGCCTACGTAAGCCGGAAGAAGAGACCTTGTCTAAAGAAGAACCCCTCCTTTTTCCTTCACTTTGGTTTTGAAGTACGAGCTGTACCACGAGCTGTGCACAGATGTCTTGTTTTTCTTTGTCTAAAGAACCCCTCCTTTCATGGCAGCGGTATGCCCCCCTCTCAACGATCCTTCATTGTGGTTTTGGCAGCGATATGTCCCTATTTGTCTTCCTATCAACGACCCTCTTGAAGTACTTGGTGGGGAGCACTCCGTCGACTCCACGTGTCAAAACCACGTTGTTATCTGACCTGAAAAACCTTATCCCGTCTTCAATAGCCTTCTCCACATCTACGTAAATCAGAACCTCACAAGACTGCCTCATGCCGCTAATCACACCATCCTTGCCAGGCAGCCCTATCGCGAAGTGAATCTCGTTCCGGCTCATCTTCGACAACCCATCTCTACGGATGGCTTCCCAGTGGCGGTAATACGTCCCATGCACGCACACCGGTACGTCCTTCGCATCCGCTATGGGTGTCAATACAGCCTCTGTCTGAACACACTTCATGGTGTGCCCTTGATTGGCTCGGATCAGCAAGTTTCCGTTCTCCTCCAACAGCCCGAACCTTTGTTTGTTATCAGTTGTGACCGTCTGGCGAACGTCCTCCACAGTGTGGCTGCAGAGCTCTTTCTGGGCTGGAGTTCGAGCCTTCAGGGTTAAAAGTTGTTCAACAGGGACGTATCCGTCAGGGCGAATGTCGAGCCGCCACGAAGGGGCTTGATGCCTCAGAATCCGTGTCAAGCAACGGCCCAAGGCGTCAATCTCTCCAGACCTACGCAAAGGTGCGGCATCGTCACTGTGCCCAGCCCCCACAGCTTCACCATGGCCGGAACTGGCCCCTCGCCATCTGCCTCTCCTTCTCGAAGCGCCCCTTCCATATGCACCCCCATAACCCCTTGTTCCCACTCCCACTCCCCGTCCGACATCGTCAGACCTCCCCGATACCTCGTAACACTCCCCTCTACCTCCACCTCTACGACCAAGAGCGTGCCTACCCCCACCGCTCACCCACCGGTCCCCTGTGTGTTCACGTGCATCGCCCCTAGCCGTTCCTGCTCGGCTGCTGGCATTACTTTCTCTATTCTCGTGGGACCCCTCGTCACCCATCGACGCCGCTTCCATTGCACAGTCTGCAGACTCGTTCTCACGGCCCTCCTCCTCACAAAGGCCATCTCTATGCGGGTCAACATTGTCCGGCCCTGCTTCGCAGCCCGCCCTCTCCCCACCCCTCGCTCCCGTGCTCATCTCATGGTTGAAGAATCTTTTTCTGGAACTGGGTTCCTCCTTACCACCACTGAACCCGCTCACAGTGTCCTCTCTCACCTGCTCTGCACATACAACCTGCTCGACAGCATTCTGCCCGACAACACTGTCCGAATCCCTTGCGTATGGTTGCTTGTCACTCATGCTGCTGTGCTCAGGGACGGCCTCCCCGCTTTCTTGGTTAACCCCCTTTACACGCTGTCTCTGCTGGGATGACTCGTTCTCGAGGGGTATCGGAACACCCCTACGTGGAGCACGTGCATCCAAGTTAGCCCCTCCCAAAGAGGGCCATTCCTCGCTTGATGTACTGAAACTAGACACCTGGCCCGGATGCTCTGTACCTGGACACGCCCCCTGTTCCTGGATACGATGAATTTGAGGAGTACCTCCCGAGTGGGTAGCGCAAGACAATCGCCCCCCTCCCGATGGATTCACGTACGCAGCAAGCCTTTGACCCCTCCCCCTTCCCCAACCCCCTGAACTGCCTCTTTGACCACGCGGCCCTGATGACGACGACATTGAAGCAACTGGGACCGAGCTTGCTGACGTTCGATGCAGCGATGGAGAGAAGAGACACCTGGCACCAAGCTGGCTCACGATTTTCTGGAGGATATGGGCAGATCCATAAACATTAGAAGGCATGCGAGCCTTGGAAAGAGCTTGGGCAAAGAACGCCTGTCGAGTGAGAATGCGATAAGAGACGCGAACGCGGTTTTCCGTTACACCGCCTGCTCCAAGTCATCATGGAAATGGTCAGCTGGGATGAATGAGCCTGCATGACATTCATTAAACGGGGAAACAAGGGAAAAATGAAATGCCACTATTCATCCGCTGTTGAGCTCCCCAAACACCATCCACACGCAAGAGTTGTCGATCGACAGCATGTCAGTAACAGCCGGCTAATGGCAACAACGTATCGACTTATAGTTAAGGGCAAGGGTGCGCAGTCCGTAGTAGTTCGTATGTTTGAGTGACTGGGGGACGGTAAGCGCTGGTGTGTAGGGATATGTTGGAGAATGCCGCGGAAAACGGTGTGTATGATGTATGTGCATGTGTGTTTTTTTGGTTCCTTTTGTTTGTGCATGTGTGTTTTTGTGTTCCTTTTGTTTGTGCATGTGTTTTTGTGCGATACGTGTTGCCTGTGGTGCGCTACCGTCTTCACCCGAATAGAACGCCCGGTCATTATAGCTGTATTTGGCACGACTTTTGGTCCAGATGCAGCGATAACGACCGGACGTTCTATTCGGGTGAAGACGGTAGTAATAAGTTGTTCTTTCCAAACAGAAGGCGAACAAGCATTTTTCAGAGTACGAGGACAGACCGGGAGAAGGGAAAGGAGGGGAGGAGAATTTGGGGGGAGTGGACCGCGCATAAAAAGGTTAGTTTTAGAGGTTGAAGTGAAGTTCGGGGCCATTTGGACTTGACATGGGGGTAGAGGGGAAGGTGGAAAGGGAGAGGAAACAGGTTCCGTCTTGAGCAAGTCTGTTTGTGACAAAGGAGGGCACTGAAAGTTTTCAAAGTGTGAAGTAAGGCCAGTGCGGCTACGCCCGGACGCATGGGAACATCAATGAGATATCAGAGGTCAACATAAGTACCCATCTACAGATCTCATGGGGTCAACATAAGTATCCATCTACAGATCTCATGGGGTCAACATAAGTATCCATCAACAGATCTCATGGTCCATAAGTCCCTCCCTCCCTCTCTCTCTCTCTCTCTCTCTCTCTCTCTCTCTCTCTCTCTCTCT